TTAATTCTCTCCCGTATCCTCGGGTGGGGGTGTGGAGGGGGGAATTGGGTGAGCGGGTGTGTGGTTTTGCCCCCAGCCAAGGGCAAACCCATCACAGTATGGCAGCAGAGACCACGGAGATGGGGACACGGGGGGCATTGCAGAGGAGCACAGGTATGAGCGGGCACGGTGCGGGGCATAAGCTGACCCTGCAGAGCCCTGGGCTGTGCTCAGCCTGCCAGTGGGCGGCTAAAGAGGTGCAGACCTGGGGGCTGGGCAAAATGGGATTTGAGGGACACAGACAGCATGTTCCAGTGGATGGTGAACATTCCCCATAAGGTAATTTGGGGTGTAACATGGATTCACAGACCAGTGAAGAGAAAGAAACGTACAGTGCATGTCCGAAATGTATTCAGATTAGCTCCAGATGGATCCTAGAAGGAAGTGGGAGAAACCAGTCACCATCATAGTCCTCCCAGCAAAGGAGTTGAGTTGCCAGCTTACTTGGACACCCCTCTTTTCTATGTTGTCCTCTTTTTTTCTCTTTTTTTTTTTTTTCCTGTACTAAGGAGATCTGAACAAGTAACAGTAATTGTTCAGGCTGTTAGGAGAGCAATTACACTAGAAATAAAGTGTTGGTTTTACATAAGAGATTATTTCCTTTTACCTGTGTAGTACTAAATTTGCTTTTTTTTTTAAATCATACATAGACCATGAGAGCAACAACATTTTAATATTTTTATTACTTTTCATTTATTTTTTTTGGTCTACCACAGAGCTGTTAGGTCCATACCAAGCAATGGTAGCCTGGAATCTCAGCATTATTTTTACGAAGGCACTTTTTCCTAGCAAGTTGATCTAATCTTGAGTATTTCTATTTGCTTTTAACAGATTTTGTTAGGATTACCAGTGGCCGTAACACAAGTCATCGTGGTAGGACAGTTGCATGTTTTGGATGTATACATTTTAATTTTTCATTTTGAAAACATAAACAGGCTCATATATGTTATGCTAACATTTATGCCAATTTGAATAATAGAAATGAAGTAGTCGCACTGTTTCACTGGCAAACCTGGAAGTGTTTGTAGGGGAAAGTTGTAGGATATTCATGGACCTTAAGGGTAAAGCTGTTAGAGGGAGCTGATATGAGGTCTGGGAGACAAAGGGAGTCAAACCAGCAGGCTGAGATTATTAGTGTTTGAAAAGCTCTGTGCCTGTTACACTGAAAAGCTGAAAGTTGTCACTTCACCATGTCAGGCTGCTAAGGTGATAAGTTAGATCCCTGCACCTTGCCCCGAGGCAAGAGCACGGCTGCTGTGCAAGTCTTGCTGATGGGTTTCTGTGTGTTTCTCTCCCTTCCAGGTTCTCAGCTCCCTTGGGTACCATGTGGTCACGTTTGATTATCGAGGTATGTGGGCTGCTCTTATTGTCAAACACTTTTAGATGTCTCTCTCTGGAGAAGCAACCAAGACGAAGTTGCTTGTTTTTTGGATCCCAGGGGAGCTGTTGTTTTAGAAATGCTTGTTGCCACTCTGTGCCACCAGCAATCAAGCATCTACTGCTTTTTATTTTTTTTCCTCTTGTCAGTGTTTAAGCCATGGCTACCATGTAATGCCACTGGAGATCCAGGAAAGAAATTAATCCATTGCATTTTTATCAAGAAGACATCTAGGAGAGGTTTTTTTTTTTGTAGGAACTTGTCCTGTTTTTCTGTCCTGCTGGCAGCTGCTTCTCTGGCTGCTTATTAGGGATCAGAAAGGATGTGGGATGCTGGCTGCTTTAGCATAAGATGTGTAGACGTGCTGCAGTGGTGACAGAACCAAAACAATCAGGAGGGTGGAAAATTGCTTGAGGGCATTGATTGAACAGCAGGGACAAACTGATGTTGTAACAGCTTTGGGAAATGCATTTGTTTTTTGGCCCTAAGCATCCAATTTTTGTTCGAGACCCCACTTACAAATTGGTTACGTGCATGCAAAAGCACCGGAGGTTTGGGAGCTGGGCTGTTGTGGGTGGGTAGGTGCAAGGTGTGGCAGCGTTCGAGATCTAGCTCTTGTTTTTATTGTTGCCTAAATCCACAAAAATTCTTTGGCAGCCAGCTGTTACCTTGCTTAAATGACCGCGGATCAATGGGGGCTTTCAGCCCCAAGCTGTAGAGGTGCATAGTGAAATAAACAGCAACTGTCCATGTTTCAGGTCCCTTTGCCCACTTGCAAATGGGCTGTGTGGGAAGAGCTGGCTGGCTTCGCTGACCCATTTGTGTGATTCTCAGCGGGACTGTTTTGTGTTTCAGGCTGGGGCGATTCAATAGGCAGCCCATCAGAGAGGGGAATGACCTACGACGCCCTTCATGTCTTCGACTGGATAAAAGCAAGAAGCGGAGACAACCCTGTCTATATATGGGGACATTCCTTGGGCACAGGGTAAGCATCTGGTCTCAGTGGGACTTAGCAGCTTCTGAAAAACATTAAATGCTGACCGTGGATGAAGGTGCTGTTTGCCTTAATCCCCAGGCTGGCTTGGTTTGGAGTCTGTGGCATAATTGCTGCAGATGAGCTTCCCCTTTGCACTTGACAGAGTGAGAAGGGCTACAGTGAATGACTGTGCAGGATTTGATCTTCAGCCTCCGGTGCCTGGAGGGTTCCACTGGAAAAAAGACACTTAGAATAATCCAATGCAGATTGACTAAGGGGAGAGAAAGTGTGACTGCACCGATCTCTTCCTCTGGTGATCCCATGTCTGCATGTCCTTCAGAGCAGAACATCAGGCTTTTCTGATACTCCCAAAGACTCTCTCAGACCAGCCACACGTGCACGTGACTTGTCCTTACAAAATGTTTTCTCCTGTCCTGGCAAACACGCTGTGTGTAATCAGTACTCATGCAGATGCTTGCATGACTACACCACTGCTCAGCTGGGACATCTATGCGGTCATGCCTGGCACAGGGATGTCCAAAGTGTCAAGTGCCTTTGCCTGCATCTTTTGAACTTTCCTTTCCTGCTTCCTCCCTTCCCATTGCTGTCTGAAGGTGGGTGGTGTTCAAGCCCTTGATTTGCGGAGGAGAAGAGACCAAACAGAGGAGTTACTTTTGGAGTTGAGCTGTGTGCAGATTAAACTCTTTGAGACCACAACAGCTTGCCTTGCTGGCCCACAAATGTGTTGCTGGGACAGGGAGGTATTTCTGTATAGTGCCTCTTCATTGCAATGATACTAAACGTCCTGCTTTGTTGGAGAGAAGGCAAAGGCTTTTCCTTTGGCTCTTCCTCTCAGTTTTTGCCATGTTTGGGATCTCTTTCTGGGTCAGAGCATGCTCGTGACATTTCCTGATGCACTGCAGTCTGAGTGGCGTGGGACTGCATTCCCAGGTAACCACAGCCAGCCTGAAGCGTGAGGTTTTTGAAATACGCTGTGCTTGGAGGATTCAGCAACTTTGCAAGTATCTCTGTCCCCTTAGGGAGAAGCCTGGGGGGGAGACTTTGCTTCTTTCTGACCCAGCTATGGAAACTCCTTGCAGTATCACCCTGGGACCCTGTGCTCCAGCTGCCTGGAACACGGCACCTCTCCACCCGTAGCCCTGCGTTCCCCTCTTTCTTGCTCAGCCCTTGTGGTCTAGGGCTAAGAGGCTGTGTCACACTGCTACAGATATGCTGGGAGCCTGAGAGCCACCTTCAAGGAGGTCCTTCCGAGTGGCTGCAATGTGTGCTGCTTCCTTGGACTTACCTAAATGCGGGTGTCTGATGCCCCTCAAGACAGTGGGTGTAGGAGACCTGCAGGAACCCAAGTTGTTGTGGCCTGGCTGCCCAGACCTCAAACAGGGCGAGGGGCCGATGTTGCAGCGGTTGAGCTGTACCTCTGCCACCTGCTGCCACTAGAGCCTGGTGCTTTGCAGAGGGCCTGTGCCCGATTAACCGCTTGTTGTTCTTCTTTCCAGGGTCGCAACAAATCTAGTGAGGCGCCTTTGTGAGAGAGGTAAGTTTGGTGGGTGGATGCTCTTCCCACCCAGCCCAGGTCCTGCTGCTGTCCTAGATTTCCACATGTGTTTGCGGTCGTGACAAGGCTGTCCTTGGCACACCACGGCAGCAGCTGCTCTCATGAGGCAGACCCTGAGCTTGCTGGCTATCTGCACCCCTGCGTTTCAGCACATTGCCTTCGGCTTTGCAGAAACACCCCCGGATGCCCTGATACTGGAATCTCCGTTCACCAACATACGAGAGGAGGCACGAAGTCACCCCTTTTCTGTGGCAAGTATACAGTGACTCTCGCACTAGTGGCATGTAATTGTGCGCTTAGAAATTAACCTTCAGGAGTGATGTAGCTGAGCTGACTGCATGACTTGTGGGGCAGCAGTGGTGTCAGGGGTAAAGAGCTGCACTTAAGGCAACTCCTGGGAACACCGATACAATAAGCAGTGCCAGAGCCACATGTGGAGCCTGCTTAAAGCAAACAGAACCTGGGATCAGAAAGGGCAGTAAATGTAGTGAGGGGCAGATAGGCTCTGCTCTCAGCAGTGGGCAGCCTGTTCTTGTGTTGTAGCTTCCCTGTTGCAGGAGGCTATTTTGTGGGCTGTTAGCAAAGCAATGGCAAAGCTGGGCATCTCTTCCATCTGGTCTGCCTGCCAGCTGGCTCTGAACTGAGCAGACACCCATGCTGGGTATTGGATGTGGCTGGGCTGGTGAGGTGCCCTGGGATAAAGCTCTCTTCCAGGAAGGCTGTTGCCAGCAGTAGCAGTATGATACCTAAGAGACCTTGACCATACAAGTGCCCAGAGAACCTGCTCCTGAGCAGGCTGATAAGATTGGTAGTAGCCAATTAGCAAAACAGCCCCCCGTTAGCGCTGCTTGTGTAACTGTCCTAGTGGTGCCTAACACAGATTTCTCCTCTCAGATATACAGATACTTCCCTGGCTTTGACTGGTTCTTCCTTGACCCCATCACGACGAGTGGAATTAAATTTGCAAATGATGAAAAGTGAGTTCCCTCTTTGCTGGGATCTGCAGTGAGCCATGGCAAGCATCGAGGAGGACAGACATCAGACTTCACTCTCTGCTCTTCTGCTCTTTTCTTTTCATGGAAGCGTTACACTCGCTAAAGGGATTTCAGTTACTCTCACAGCCCCAAGTGCAACAAAGCTTTGTGCTGTGGAGCTCTTTCAGTTGTTCCTAATCAGGACAGATGCGACAGAGAGCATAGAGACTACTCAGGGATATGCTAATTTGGTCCCTGTAATTGATGCTTTATTGCATGTTAAACAGTAGCACTGGGACATTGAAGGGTTGGGAAGATTTCTCTGCTGTGCATTTGCATCAGCCGCCCTGCATGTAAGAACACGGTCTGTTTTCACTGAGCCTTTCGTCCAAGAGCCTGAGTATTTGTGAGTTTAGTTTCCAGCACTGAAACCAACCCAGACCTTGGGGGATGATGCTTTGCAGTGGGGCAAGACACTTTTCCGTGGTCTAAGCACCAAATAGCTTTTTCAAGGATGCCTTTCACTAGTAAATTTTCTATAAATCAAATGAATGGTGCCCCAGTAACAGTGTTTTCAAGATCTGAACTGCAGTTAAGTTAAGCTAGATGTTAGAAAAAATTTCTTCACTGAAAGAGTGATGAGGCACTGGAACAGGCTGCCCAGGGAAGTGGTGGAGTCACCATCCCTGGAGGGGGTCAAGAAACGTGGAGATGTGGTGCTTCGGGACATGGGTTAGTGGGTTGGGTGGTGTTGGGTTGACGGTTGGACTTGATGATCCTTGAGGTCTTTTCCAACCTTCATGATTCTATGATTAATGACCCACAGGACATTTGTCATTGCAGTTTCCTTGAAAATCCAAATGTGTTGCTGTTAGTGATGGGATTGCTCTGAGCCTTTGTGACATTGCTGTCTTTTTTTCCAGCGTTAAATACATCTCCTGCTCCCTGCTCATCCTTCATGCTGAGGATGACCCGGTGGTGCCATTTCATCTAGGAAAGAAGGTATGCATGTGGCTCTGCAAACTGGTCTGGTGGGAGGAACCGGTGTAGATGGAATGACATCCCAGCCAGGCAGAAAGTCAGCAGTAGGAAAGTGGATGTAGAAATGTGTAGCCTCAAGGGACTACAGATTCTGTGGTGTTGGCGGTGGCAAATCAGTAGTGAAACAGCTAGAGCTAGCAAAGCTGGTCAAGCCAGGGCCCACAGCCCACTCCTGAGAGGTGTGCTGGTTTGGCGGGGGTGGCTGCTTTGGAGTGACACGTCCCTCACCTGCCTCCCCTTGGATTCAGCTTTACAACATCGCTGCAACGTCACGGAGTTTCCGAGACTACAAGGTGCAGTTTGTTCCATTCCACACAGACCTCGGCTACCGGCACAAGTACATCTACAGGAGTCCAGAGCTACCTCGAATATTGCGGTAACAGCCCAGCTAAATGGGTCTTCCTGGGCTTTGGGGCGGGGGGAGCTGGTGCTTGGGTCTTTGGGGTGCACTCTGACACACGCCCAGGAACAAGAGGGATGTGTAACAGGCGCCTGGGCAGCTCTTCTGAAAACCCCCTTTGGTCTCCAGAGTGGGTGAGAGACTGGGGCTGGCTTAGCACAAAGTCAGAGCTCTCCGCCTCCCTGCAAAGCGGGTTTTGGGAAGGGGAGCCACAGAAAGCTGGGAGCACTTCTCTCTGGCTTATCTCTGCTGTGAGCTGGATGCTCTGGAGGAGTTGTTTGCAGAGCAGCTACTTCTGCTTGTCCCTTGGAGCGGGAGCCGCGGGTGGGCGAGAGCAAAGCTCAGTGCTGTTCCCTGCAGCTGCCAGTGCTTGAGCCCTCGTACCTGCTGGGGGCATGGGAGGACCTGCAGGCTGCACCATGGACCAGAGCGTAGGGGAGCTGAGCGTCACTGCTGTGTCATTTCCTTCCCTAGGGAATTCCTGGGAAAATCTGAACATGAGCATCGTCACTGAAGACTTAGCTGCTTGGCAGCACAGAGGTTTTCCATTCTTTCCTTCCTCTCCCTCCTCTTCCTCCTCTCTCCCTGTGGGTCAGTCTGCCATTCTTCCATCCCTGGCACTGGAGGAGGTCAGGGATTCCCACTCCGGTCCTGATGTGTACCCTTGGCAACTCCAGCTCCTGGCATCAGCATCTGTGATGGTAGAAGAAAGAAGTTGTTGGCTTCTTTTCTGACATGGATGGAGGGGTGAAAACAGCCCAAGAGCTGGTACCAAACCATGAGAAGTGTAAGCACAACAAAGCCTGGCCAATCCAGCATGGTACTGCTGAGGACAGACATTCCTAGCGCGTGTGCATCATGACCAAGGGTGTTTCTTTCACTTTTAAAAACTGCTGCTGTTTTTTGGATCACGTAGAGACTCGTTTGTAGGCAAATGGCTTTTGCCGTGTCTCCATACCACAGTTGTCTTGAGTTTGAGGTTGTTCTCTTTCTAGGAAATATATGTTTTTGTCTTCCCTTTTTGCTAAGTGGCTGTAATTACAAATACACTGAAGATCCAGGTGGTGACAGGTATTTTTATTTAGATCTTCAATCACAAGAGGGTGCAAGTGTTGGGCTAATTGCACACATTTGTAAATAAATTAAAGATTTTTTTTTATTCTTCCTTTTCAAACATCTGTTGGATGGAAAAGGTTAGTGCCCTTTTCCTTCTGAACATCATTTCTGCTCTCATCCCTGCTACCCTCTGTGGAGCTCTTCACATGCACTTCCTTAATAGGACTGAAGTGATTTGCGTAGATAAATTGCAGACGTGGGAGTTTAAGCCAGAAAGTGTGAGATTTACTACTTTTTGCTTGATCTTCCCATTTTGTGAACAACATGGACCCAGGATGTGGGAATGGATGTCTTCCATTCTCCCTGTCCCTCCCAGACAGACGTGTGAGTCCTTTGGGTGGGAAGGACAGGTTTTTTTTCCTCATCCACCTTTTAACTCCTTAGGTCAGGTTTTCCTGTTCCTGGTGGCTGCGCTGTCCCTCTGTAGTTAAAAGCAGGCAGTGGTATGCAGGTCTTGATGCAAGAATAAGTCTGGGGTGTCCCCCCTGCCCCATATCTCCCTCCACCTCACTTCTGTGCTCTGCGCATTCCAGATGCTTCCAGCAGCACTTCCCAGCCCATCTCCCAGGCATGGTTGGAGGACAGTGGCAGGAGGCAGCAGTGGAAATGAGCCTCTCCCACAGGGAGAGGTTCTAGGGATGCCCTCGCCCTGCTTGGGGCTAGAACAGGGGTTTGCTGGTTTATGCCACTGACGAGCTCTGCACTGAAACAGGAGAGGGTCACACGCTGACTCTGTGGGGTCTGGCTGGGGACCTGGCCCTACAAATGGTGCTGTAGCTTTAGTCACTGTGCTCAGAGTGACCTGTGCTGCCTGCAGGGCTTGTTCAGGGGTGTATAGCGTTGTATAAACTGCTCAGCATGCATCCAGGCTGTATCTGCAGGCTCATACTAGTTGCAAAGCAGACAGTAGCTGCTTCTTATACTGAGATTCTTCTGCCATAGCGTACTTGCCCCCGAGGTTTCTGACCCATGATGCTCATAAGCTAACTGTGCCACTTAAATTACGTTTGACGCGCTTGTATTTATTGCACTGACAGAAGAGACACACTTAACTTGGCTCTGGAGAGTGACGAGCTCATGCTGCTGGCTCAGGGCAAAGCCCAGCCTGAGCCAGAGGCTGCCTGGCTGCCTTCCTCCCGTGGGACAGAGCTGAGGGTCCAGCCCATGAACTGCTGGTGTTGGTGATCCCACCACCACCATTCCCCTTAGTAGGCCAGTGATATGCTTGGAAATTTCAACTGAAATGTTCATCTAAAAGTGGTGTAGTTTTAATAAAGGCATTGACTGGTGATCACTTCAGCTTCACCCGTTTTACCTGGCTGTTTTGGGACTTTTTCCCTAGTTGGGCAGCTCAGCTGGGTGTGTGGCAGGGCTGTACGTGGGAGATGCCCGGTTGCAGCTGCGAGCTCCTCAAGTTGTTGGTGGCTGCTGCCAGATCCGGGTGAGGGGTTCTCCTGGAGCCTGTGGGTCTGTGCCAGTAGCTGAGGCTCTGCTTCCCCACTGGGATTGGGGGAAGTGGGAGCTGCCTGTGGGATTTCCAGCACAGGAGCCCTGTGTGTCATTTGCAGGGCAAACCCAGCACTAAGCCCTCACCCCGGTGGACACAGTTAACAACGCCAGGAGTGCAGGGAAGTGGCTTTGGCCCCAGCAGGCCCAGCAGCCTCTGGTACAAGCTCCCTCCTGCACACCCCGTGCATGGGCAAGGCTGACCTTCCTGCTCCTGTGATGGTGCCAGCACCCCAGCACCATGCCAGCTGCAGGGGAGCGTATCTCATGAAGCCACAGCTGGAGAAGGGCAGCATGGCTTCAGGTGTCATCGCCTGAACCCCCAGGCAGGGTGGAGTACTCACAAGTCAGCCCAGAGTCAAACCAGCAGGTGTTGTGGTTGTTTTAATGAGTTGGTGTCACACAGGGGAGCACTGGAGCACTACACAGCACTACAGATGTTGTACTCTGGGCCCCAGCACTGGGAGGAACACATGGAGCAGTGTGACTCAGCTGTGGAGGGACGTGAGAGATGTGATGCACGTTCACCCCCTGGGTAGCATCCAGCTGTGCCTGGAGAGCCAACCACCCAGCTGGCAGGGGCAGGAACAACCCTCTCTATGCAGATGTGGAGCCTCAAAAATCCCTGGAGTGGCTTGGTTACTGGGCTTTTGGTTACTAGGCAGGGGAAGAGGCTAGGGCAAGCTCTGGGGCAAGGACACCGCTGATCCCAGGTCCTCTCCTTGTGGCACACAGCACTAGACACTGGTGCCGGCACTGGGCCCAGCTGCTCCGACAGCCAGCCCCACCTTCTCGAGGTGTCAGTGGGGAAGGGGGTGGCCGCTACCTCCCCTGGACCCACTGGAGGAGGATGCAAGACCCACTGTGTGTCAGCTAAACTTGCTGGTGGGACAGGGTCGTGGAGGGGGAGAGGGCAGGATTGAGTTGTAAAGCCCTTGTTAAGCACGGAGCACAGCTGTGGAAGACTTAAATTTGTGGTCATCTCACTAAAAGCACTATGCAGCACATGCAGGCTGGATACATGGGTACAAATAACAGGGTTCTTTCTCCTCTCCCCCAGCTCCTGCTCCTCAGTCAGGGCTCCTCCTCAGCATCCTTCTACCCGTCCAAGGGAAAGGCCTTGTTCCTGGAGAGCCGAGCCCATCCGCCTGGCAGTGAAATGCAGCTGAGGCCTCCCGGGCTGGGAACCCATCCCTCCTTTCCCTCCTGCGCTTGCATCAATCCCGGGGAAGGTTGGGTGGGGGGATTTTTGTGGCAGATGGCTCCACACCCCAGATCTCCCGGGCGTACTCCGTGATGGTCCTGTCACTGGAGAACTTGCCCGAGCATGCGATGTTCCTGATGACTTTCTTAGTCCACTCCCGGGGGTCCTGGGGAGAGGAGAGGCACGTCAGCAGTCGGTCCCTCCCAGGGGCACGGGCTACGGGCGCTGGGCTGGTTTCAATGGTGTACTGGGGCTGCCAAAGCGGCAAAACCTGCCTCGCCCTGCCCCGTGCCTGCGCAATGCGGTGTCTTAAGAAGGGCTCCACGGGAACACGCTCATCCCCACTCCCCCCGTCTCCCTGCTGCACTGCCGTGGCCGAGGACCCCAGCCTTCCCCCTCCGCAGCAGGCGGCTCTCACCATGAACAGCTGGTCCACTTGCCCTTGGCACTGAATGTAGGCCTCGTAATCAGCAAACACCTTAAACCTGGAACCCAAAGCGGAGTGAGGCTGGGGTCTGCCTGCCGTGTGGTCCCAGCCTGGCAGGACAGGGTGGGTCCGGGGGGCAGGCAGGGCTGGGCTGGGAGGGGGCCTGGGCAGGCAGAGGGCAGCCCTGCATGGGATGCTTGCTCAGACTTACCTGTCGTGGTACATGAGCATGTTTACAACATCCCTGAAGCAACCCGGGTCTCGAGGGGAGAAAAAGCCACTGCTGATCTGATCGACAGCCTGTCGCAGCTCCGGCAGGTGCTCGTAGTACTCCCGGGCGTTGTACCTGCGCCCAGCAGAGACAGGCTGTAGGGACCCACGCTCTCCCCTGGGGCCCAGCACCCGCAAAGCAGCACCTGG